TTTTCAAGCGACCAAGGCCAGCCTCTTGGGGCCGAGGGAGGGCTGCCTGCTTTGCGTCCGGAAAGTGCCATTAAGTCGTGTGCTCCTTACGAGGCAGAGTACACATTGGGCGCAATAAATCGTGTTTATGTTTTCAAGATTTTTTTGAATGTGGGTATATGATAACAAAAACCAGAATTACAGTCTACAACTTAAAATAATTGTATTTTTGCATAAAATGAGACTGACCAAGTGATCATTTGATGGAGTGCATTTCTTTTCATTGGTTTTTAAAACTGTTGCTCATTTGTTTTACTGCATTAGCAAATAAGAGAAACTGTTCATTTTTTATCTCTTGTGAGCAGTATTTCTAATACTTTCAGGTGGTATAGTTTATAGACTGGCCTTATCAGAAAAAGAGAACTAGATAAAATTTCTAATTCCACAGATTAACCTCTAAACTGATGGTTAAAATTCAGTGTCTGGGGATGGAAAATGGAACTTTTTTTTTTCTTACGAAAGGAAAATAGTTTTCTTTTAACTCTTATTTTGTAATTATAAGACATGATAAAAATCGCTCACAATCTCACTAACTAGAGATAGTCACCATTTTATTAGCATTTAGATAGTTTTTTTATGGTCTGTGTTTTATATACATGTATTTTCTAAAATTAGGATAAAATGTATATGCAGTACTATATTTTGCTTTTCCACTTAATATTTTTTTTTTTGCTATTTTTCCTGATAGCAGATATTTTGTAAGACACGATTTTTTTTGGTTTTGTTTTTGTTAATCCTCATCAGAGGATATTTTTTCCATTGATTTTTAGAAAGAGTGGGATGGAAGGGGGGGATAGAGAAAGAGAGAGAAAGAAACATCAATGTGAGAGATACATTGATTTGTTGCCTGCCGCATATGCCCTGACTGGGGCTGGGAATCGAACCCATTGCCTTATGCTGTAACCACTGAGAACACCAGCCAGGACTGTAAGTCATGATTTTTAACAGCTTCTAAACATTCTATTATCACTGTATCATGATTAAAAAAATATTTCCCCTTTGTCTCATCATTTGGTTATTTTTAAATTTTCTTAATTGTGAAACAGACTATTGTATAAAGGGCAATGAGCATTTTTAAGGCTTTTGATAAAGATTTCTAATATGTTCTCTAAAAGACAAATACCACATGATCTCACTTATTTGTGGAATATAATGAACAAGGTAGGCTGATGAACGAAATAGACCCAGAGACATAGAAGGGAGTAAGGTTCAGACTGACAAACCAGAGTAGGGGGGCCGGGGGGATGGATGAGATGAACCAAAGCACTTATATGCATGTGTGCATAACCAATGGACACAGACAACAATGCTGGGAGGTGGGCGGAGGAGGGTGTCTAGGGGGGAAAAAAGAGAAACATCTGTAACAAAAGTAAATTAATAAAAATTGGAAAAAACAAAACAAAATGTTCTCTAAAAAGATTTTTAACAAATTTGCATTCCCATTTAAAATGTGTGAGTGCCTACTCCATGTACCTTCTCTAACAGCAGGACTAATTTTTAAATACATTTTTTTCGCTAGTTTGAAGTATTAATCAAATATAGCATTTAAAAATATATTATTGATTTTGGAATTTAAAAAAATCTATTTATTGATTTATTTTTATATGTGAATTGTACATTTCTTTTTGACCTTTTAATTTTCGGATATAATCTTATTTTCTTTGATTGGTAAGAGTTCTTTACATATTAGCTAAAACACATAAAACTGGTTTTATAGGTCAAAAACAGTTGAATATTTTCAACTTCATATGGTTTAACTTGAATTATATATTTTATGTTGGCTGCCAATGTTTTCCCAGATTGTCTTTTTTTTTTAATTTATTTTTTTACCATGTTGTTTTTTTAAAACATATAACAAGTTTAAAACTTTTTTTGTGGTTTGATTTAGAGACCTTTTTCTTTGTAGTTTCCCCTATAGCTTTCTTGCAGCAAAAGTTCTTTCCATCCCAAGGGCAGATAAATATTTTTGCAGTTTCATATTTTTAAATTGAACTTTTAAAATCCATCTGGAATTTTGTTTGAATGTATTATTAGGGCAGGGATCTGTTTACTGAGTGATGAAACAATTACTTTCAGATTCCTGAGCAAACTCTATTGTTTAATGTCATGCTCCATTGCTAAAAATCACAGAATTATTATGTGTCCTATGCGTATAACATCTTTGGCCTCGATTCCTCATAAAATGCTAGTGCCTTGGGTTAGCCCGTGTGCTTCAAGGATCAGTAATAATCCAGAGACCTTGATTTTGGCAGTGTTCACTCTGCTTTAAGGATGTAAGTAGTACGGTGCACATACTGATGGCTTCCCCCAGCATGAAATTCTGTCACTCACAGAATCTGTCACGTTAACTCACGTGGACAGTGTTGTTAAATAAAATGTTCTTTAAGCAGAAAGACTTTAGAAAGTCTTGATGCTACTTCTCTTTTCTTCTTTATACTTAAATTGACTTAAATATATATTATTTAAATATATATTATACACAATATATAAATTTGTCCTTTGCATAAGATACCAAGAGATGACATTACTTATTATTAAGTAGTCATATAGGCCCGAGTCAAAGTGCCTGTTGCATCTCAGGTGTTTTAGACAGAAATTCCACTGATTTATTCTAGAGTTTTTAGAGCTTGCTTAGTGTTACTGTGGAATAAACATGCAATGTTAAATGAATTCATCTATAGTCTAAATTGTTGTTATTTGATTGAAATCATATGCAGTGGCTCTGATGTCATTGATAAGAAAAAATAAATTGCTTAAGTTTTGTGATTTGCTTTTATGATGCTCTGGTGACGTTTGGGGAGTCTTTCAGTGAGGGAGACCCTGGCGTCACCCTTTCCGTTTGGACATCTCTAGCACCAGTGAAGATGCTTTTTTTTTTTTTTTGAGGGTTTGAAGAAACACACATATGTATTATTATTCAAACTCTTTGTATCTGAACTTAGAGACTTAATAGGCTCAGATAGATGTTCGGATAACTCCCGTCTAAATGTTCTGTATGTGATCTCAAACAGGAGGGCAAAAGTGACTCAATACTAAGCGAGCCAATTCAGAGAGCAAATACATTGCATCAGGAGGGATCTTGTATTAGGCCATGCTAGGTTTCCTGTATTATGGACCCCTCAAAGGGTGACGGTGAAATAGAAAAAAACCTTCTGGATTCAAAGGACTGATGGTCCCCATGTTCTCTGAGAAGTCAGCCAAGGGCTTGCCCTTCACTGTCCTAGAGTTTCCCGAGGATTCATCAGCTTCCTAGACCTCAGTGGGGCTTTGTGGAATGGAGAACAAGCTACCGTGACAACACAGAGGGCAGAGGGTGTGCCCCCTTGAAATGGGCTTGTCAGAGCGGGAAGTTAGGAGTCCCATGACCACTAGGTGGCTTCAGTTGCCCACAAACAAAGGGTCAAGCCCAGAGGTACTGTGGTGTCGCTTTTCACACTTTAAGAAAATAATTTCATTTTGGGAGTATTTATTTCCTGAGATAGATTGACAGAACTGATTACTAAAACTTAAAGACCTTTGAGGGTCATCTAGTTTTACCTTCCCATTTTGTAGATGAAGAACATTTGGGGAGACTTCTCTACGTTGACTCAGCTATATAGTGGCAGAGTTAGAGTCAGAACCCGAGTCCCTAATCCAGCACCTAGTCTAGTTGAATCAGTGATGCAGTCTGAAGTGGCCCCACACGGTTATGTGGCACCGACTGTGCTGAAACCCTGAAGAAGTGGGCAGAGGAAGGCTGTGTTGAAGGCAGGTGGCAAAGTGGATGCTGGGCCCACCTTGTGGGAAGCATGGAGCAAGGCAGTAGCTACTGTCAATCAAGCTGAGTTGACCACGGGCCATGACCCAAAGTTGGGAAGTTTTAAGAATTCTTATTTAGTCCGAATAAGGCCTAGAGCCTTCTACACCGGATTCTTTTCTTCAGGTGAATAGCAACATTTTTTTTCAGATTCTTTTTCCCTTAATTTTTATTTATTTATGATCTTCGATGAACATTTAACCTTTAGCACAGGGTTGGTAACCCTTTAAAAAATCAGTGGTCACTAGAAAACGTAACAAAGATCAAATGAGCACAAATTCATCATATACCAGCTCAAAGCGACTTATAACAATGTTGCATTTTTTTTTTTCTCCTGTGCAAATTTTGGAGGAAGCAGATGGTGTTCATTTCAAGTACTTTTATAGCAGGTTCAGAAAAACTTCCCACTTCTGTTTTTAAAAATGGTAGGCTAAAATTTTAATGTGTATTATGGCTAGTTTCTAGGGTAGAACAGAGCTACGGGAGTCCCGGAGCAGGAAGAGTGAGGGATGGGGAGGAGAGAGCTCACTGGGATGAGCAGTGATGGAGAAGGAGCAAGAAGTGGGGAAGTGGGGTCCTTCCATCTAAGAGGAGGGAAGGAGTGTGTGTGAGGGAAGTCCTGGTGGACTGGGGAAGGAGGGCAGACGTGAGTCCCAAGGGCAGAGAGAGAGAGGAAATGGAGAAGAGCAAGGCTTCCCAGGGCTCACTCCATCGACCTCTCCGCCCTTCCCCTGGAGTGTCCTGTCTTGGCTCCTGGTTTGCAGCCAGCCCAGCTCACGGCCCTCTGTGGCTCCCCCAGTGTTCACGTGCTTAGTGTGGATCTGCCAGGTGGGAGCGCAGCGAGGATGAGAAGACACAGTACTTGAGAAGCCCTTGAGGCAGGATTTGCTGTTTAGTTAGGGGCTCCACATGGCAGGTATGTCATAATTGTTAGTGCTTTTTTTTCCTCTCCTGTAATGAAGCCGAACATTGGGAATATTTCTGTAAATCATGCTTGGAACATTCGAAGTGAATCTTTGATGTAAAACTTTAGACATAGATATAGTTTATTGTCATTTTCTTAATGGTATATCAAAACTCAATTGAATAAAAATGTAGTTGGTCGAGTCGAAAACCACCAAAAAATGTAATTATGTCTAATTTTCTCTTCTCTTCTTTATTGTAGTGATTTAAAGGGAGTGATAGTCACTCTGAGCGATGATGGTCACTTGCAGTGTTCATACCTGGGGACAGACCCTTCTTTGTTCCAAGCCCCGAAAGTTGAATCCAGAGAACTAAATTATGATGCACTGGATACGGAGTTGAAAGAACTTCAGAAAATCATCAAAGATGTGAACAAATCACAAGGTAGCTCATCTGAAGCTTTTTATTATTTGATTTTACTCTTCATTGTAGAATTGTATGATTTTGTATATGGATAATGCTCTGTACATGTTAGTTCACTTTCTCCCCCAGCCGCAGTTAAAGGCACCTTTGTAAAAACTCCGGGTTGCTTTGCAGCACGCCAAGTCTTTGTTCTTCATTTGTTTCATGTAGCTTCTGAAAAGTACATCCTATTTCAGATAATGCTTTTGCTAGTGTCCCTTTTCTAGGGACAGTTGCTACCTGTTTTTTTTCTTTAAACTCGAGAAAGGAAGAAGTACTTCTTTGGGTAGTGGTTTCAGGCCTTGAGAAGAACATTCAAGTTTGGAGTGGTCATTTATTAACTTCTAATTTCCCTGAAAAAAAATGTTAGTCGCTTCTTTTAAAAGAAACCAAAGCAGTACATGAGTTACTGCTTTGTTACTAAAAATGTTGTCATTTGCAGCTTAGTAATATAATTTATGTTTGTAGTTAATTAGCCTTCCAAATGGAGTGTAGCCTGTGGTATGCTGATTTCTAATGACTCAGAGGCTGATGATATTTTCAGTTCCTGAGTTTTGAATAGCTCAATATTATCTTACTTTGGGATTCACAGGGGTATAATTTTATTGTAAATTAAAGGGAGAAACAGAACACCAGTCCTGCAGTTTGAGTTGGACATGTGAAAAGCATCACTTTGAGTCCCCTTCTCGGGGTCAGGTAAAAGTATTTTTTTAATGAGAAAAAATATGGACCATTTTCACATAAAAGAAATGTTAAAACAAGTAGGAATAATAAAAGAAGCAGAGCATCAAAAGCCAACCAAAACAACAGAGCCGAGCTTAATCCTGGCCCAATCACTCGATGAGATTTATGTGTTTTTGAGTCTATATTACCAGGGCAGATTCAGAGGAATTTCGATAATATATTTTAAAAATATGAATATTAAAATGAAATTATTATTCTCTGGCTTTGCACTTTCTCTTAGAAAGTTTTTAGAGCAAACTAGTGAAACTTAGGTCTCTTAAGTACCTCTCTTGTTAGTTAACCTATTTGTTGTCAGACCATCACCCCCAGCCCCTGACCCCCCCCCCCCCGTCAAATAGAGAATGGTTAAAATTGGATGTATCAAATTGCAATATACAATTTCTTCCCAATTTTTTATACGAGTGTTTTGGGATTAATGGAATTATAAGTCTCATTTTGTCATTTAAAAATGTAATTGGGGAAGAGCGGTGTATATATGAAACATAGAATCGTGAGAGTTTGTTAAATAAATTTAATGTGGCTTTGTACTCCAAATTTTGTGTCTTGAGATTTTGCTCTTTCTATAAACAAAGTGCTAAATGATATTTTGATTAACACTTAATTGTGTTAAACATTTCTCAGAAAAATCCCTTACAGCTAAAAGTTATGTTTTGGTGACCATGGTGATGCCCTTGGGCGAGAAGGGTTAGGTTGTTTTACTTGTCATGACCTTGATCCTTCTGTGTAATTTGAAGTAACTGCTAATTAAGTTAGGGATGTGCCCACGGACTTGGGTGCAAAGTTCATTATTTACATAACCTCAAGTTTTATTTGATATTTGAAATTCTCTGCGCTTTCTCTGCTGCATTTGGTTTTATTCCTGAAGAAGAAGCAAAAAGACATTTTTTAAAAAGAGAGACACTTAACATACTTTATTTCTAGATATGGAAAACATTTTTTAGTTTTCTGGACTCTTATAAAACTGTGGTGTATGTCTTTATTGAAATACCTGTAATTATGTAAAAGTACCAGATCATTTCGCTATAGAAGATTATGAGAAGTTAAAACTCTGAACTTTCTGATGACCTCATTATTCATTTAAATGCCACTTATTTTAGTATAGTGACTTTAACTTACAAAAAATTTCACAGTCTTGTGAGTTTTGGTCAGTACTTAAAGCTTTTTTATTTATTTTTCTTAAATTTCCTCAAAGCAAGAACTGCAGCAAAATTTAAAGCCAATTTAAAGAGTGCATTTTGTTGTACACATGGTGTATATTATCCACCATAATAAAAGGGTTTTTGAACCTGATTTTATGAGTGTAAGTTATATGAGGAATGTATGTTGCAAGCATGAAATTATAGCAATAATTTCTGTATGGCTCACGGATTTTGAAGCTTTCTGTCCTCAGCGCATTAGTGTGCATCCTGCCAAGCATTTCTGTTACCCGTAGTCAACAACATCTGTCGCTAGGCACTTTCAAAGATGGCATTTCCTTATGATTTGGACAGTTGGTCATGTTCTCTACTTGGGTGACTCTAAAGGAATGGGTACGATATTGAGAAGGACTCCCACCGCTGTGCCTTCAGGATGGGAAGGGAGCGGTAAGACAGGGTGTATGAATGAAAGTCTGCATCCGTGTGAACTATGTCCAGGATCCCTACGCTGCCACCACCACTGGGTACGAGGAACATGTATACTTGGCGACCTCATTGGAAGAGGTGGTGTTTGGGGTTATGTTGGCTGCGTGTAACAGAATACCCACGTTCAGGGCTTACACCAGGCAGAGGCTTCTTTCTCTCCCGTGGAAAGGAAACGCAGCGATGGGCAGGCCGGGTTGGTTAGCAGTTGCACTGCGGTCAGGGGCTCCGACTGCCTTCCTGCCGGGGGCATCTGCTGGTCCAGGATGGCTTCTGGAACCGCTGCCCTCACAGCTGCAGCTGAGTCAGCCCCTGCAGGACCGTTCCTGGAAGCCACACCCGGAGCAGCGTCCACTCACATCTCCCTGGCCACCCCGGGCTGCAGGAGAGGCTGGAGTTCAGTGTTGTAGCCCAGGACTTGGTTGCTAAGAATACAATTGGGCTTCTTTTAGTAAAGAAGAACTGAAGAATGGCTGTCGGGTGGGTACGAGCGGCCATCTCGACTCTCACTAAGTTGTGGACATGCCTGTTCCAAGCAGGGCCGCGTTGGTGGGAACACCTGCTGGCCATGGTGGGCGGGGCTTCTCTTTGCAGGACAACTGATCGCTGGTGTGGCCTCGTCCGACGCTTTCCTTCTTTCCAGTCCCCATCCTCAGCATGAGGGGTGTTCCTCTCAGGTCAAGGGAGGTTTCGGCAGTCCCAGGCATTCCGTGCAAGCATGATTGGCAGGGAAGAAGAGAGAGACAGGATTTCTCCCAAGTCTCCCCTTTAATGAAGGAGGAATCGCTTTCCTAGCGGTGTGTACCAGCAACCCCTCCATGCCCAGCCTTTCTTACATCTGCCAGGGTTAAGTCCCATGCTCACGCCTAAAACAACAGATGGTCTGGGAATGAGCTCACCATGATTGGACTGGATTGATCTAATGACTTTGAGATGAAAGTGAACGTCTCAGCAGAATTACGGCTCTGCCACAATGGAGGTGGATGTTAGCAGTCCACAGCAGTCTGATATATGTATGCGTGCGTGCACACACACACACACACACACACACACACATTGCATAAGTATTGTTTCTTGCTTATTTAGTAGCTCTGTCACTTGTTCCTAATAATCTTATGCATGATGAACATTTTTTAAATTGTGAAATTTTAAGTTTTGAAAATAGCATGAACCTAGTGAAAAGAATTCAAACAGTACGAAAAGGGTAAAAACCCCAGGTCCTATTCTACTAGCTTGTTTAAAGGTAATCTTTATCAAGACTGTTTCTGTATTCTTTCAGAAAAATGTCATGTTTATGTAATTGTTTGTATGCAAATATATGTTAGATACATTGTGCCACATCTTGGTTTTTATTAACAGGCATATCTTGGAGTTTTTTTTCTCATCAATATATACAGACGAACAGCACTCTTATTTATAGCTTTGGGCGTTAGACCGTTGCACAGCATGGATATATCATAATTTAGTTAACCGTTTCCCTACTAATAGACACACAGAGATTTAGGTAGTTTGGGTTTTAATAAGTACCAGCAGCAGAGGATTTCCTTGGGCATGTCTGTGAGTTGGCTGTAACTATCAAAATGTAAAATGTACCTATCCTGTGACCTAACAGTTTGGCTCCCAAGCGGTAGAATTACTTGCCTTCAAAAGTAATCACCTTCAAACCAACTCACCTTCAAAAGGATTGTACTAGTTCAGGCTTCCACCAACAATGAAGGAGAAGGCATTGAAATTCCCCAACTGCTGTCAGTGGGTCACATCTTAGCTAATATCTTTGGAGAAAGAGACAGTTGTTCTTTAAAATATTGTAGAGGGGGAAGAATTAGCATCAAGCTTTGAATTCTAGAATGCATTAGTTTCTTCAACTTGTATGTTTATGGGTTTTTTTTTTGATATATGGTATAGATAACCCTTAAAAAATGAAACAGCAGGTTTTACTGCTGTTATTTAATTACTTTATAATTAAATATCTTTTTTCTTTCTCCCCCCCCCCCCCCCATTATAGGTGTTTGGTCCCTGACTGAGAGAGAAGATGATTTGAAAATCTCTGTTGTTGTTTCTCTTAACTTGGATTCCGTGTCTGTAGGTATATTTGCAGACTTTGAAAGGGTTTGTGATCGTGATGACTTGGGGTCAAATGTATTGCTTTAAATGATGGGCCTTCAAAGAGAAACTTTAAGGAGGATAACAACTTAACAATCTTTGTTACTTTCTAGAAATAAACACTCTAGCCTCTTGGTATAGTAAGGAGTTCCTTAGGCAGATATCTGTCTAAAAAAATGGGAAAGGGGCACTGGCCATTTTGGCTTAGTGGTTAAAGCCTCAGCCCGCAGACCAATGAGTTGCGGGTTCGATTTCTGTCAGGGCACGTACCTTGGTTGTGATTCGTATGGGAGGTAGCCACTTGATGTGTCCTTTTCACATTGATGTTTCTCTCTCTCTATCTCTTCCCCTCTCTCCCCCACAATCTATCTGAGCAAAAGTGGAAAAACGTCCTTGGGTGAGGATAACAGTTTGGCTCGGCAGTTAGAGTGTTGGCCTGCGGTCCAGAGAGACCCGGGTTCGGTTCCCACTAAGGGCACGTACCTCGGTTGCAGTTTGCCAGGCCCCGGTTGGGGTTGTGTGGGTGGCAACCAGTTGATGTATCTCTCTCACATCGATGTTTCTCTCTCTCTCTTCCCCCTCTCTCCCTCCCACTCTATCTGAAGATAAATGCAAGAATGTCCTCGGGTGAGGATTTAAAAAAAAAAAAAAGGGAAAGGGGAACAATAGGGGTTCTGGCCATTATTCTGAATATACCTTTTTAAAAAAAGTTTAACTTTTTCAGTACCAGAATATTGAGATAATTTTAATCCAGGTGAATAATGCTGTGCCTATAAGATGTTTGTTGAAGGTTCAATGAGATCGTATTTATGAAAGGCCTAGCTCAGAGTTGACAATTTATGATCTTTAATACATTATGGTGGTCATGATGGATGAGGATGTAGATTAAGAGTAAACAGTTGGGCCAAACAGTTGGGCCAGGAATTATACCCCCCCCCCCCCATTTCTATCAGTGTGACCCAGGGCATGGTATTTAATTTTCTTAGTCTCAACTTTCTCATCTATAAAATGAGAAAAATAATAGACTCTCCTTTGTTGAATTGTTATAATTAACCAGCATCATCATCATAAAATTACATTTTAGTTCTTTTTTTTTTTTTTAATATATATATTTTTTATCCTCACTCAAGGACATTCTTGCATTTGTCTTTAGATAGAGTGGGAGGGAGAGGGGGAGGAGGAGAGGGAGAGAAACATTGACGTGAGAGAGACACATCGAGTGGTTGCCACCCACACAACCCCAACCGGGGCCGGGGACAAACTGCAACAGAGGTATGTGCCCTTAGCGGGAACCAAACCCGGGCCTCTCTGGTCTGCAGGCCAATGCTCTAACCACTGAGTAAAACCAGCCAGGGAATTTCTTTTTAAATCCTCACCCAAGCATATTTTTCCATTTATTTTCAGGCAGAGTGGGAGGGAGAGAGGGAGAAAGAGAGAGAGAGAGAGAAACATCGATGTGAGAGAGACACATTGACTGGTTGCCTCCCCCATGACCCCGACCAGGGCCGAGGATTGAACCACAACTGAGGTACATGCCCTTGACTGGAATCAAACCCGTGACTCTTTAGTCCACAGGGCCGATGCTCTAATCGCTGAGACAAACCGGCCAGGGTCACATTTTAGTTCTTCCAACATTATCATCACCACCACCACCACCATCCACGTTTCACTACTTGTGTCATTCAGTGCCATATTGTAGGGCCTGTCACATATGGGTGCTCAACATATATTTGCTTTACGAATGAACGAATAAAGCTGAGGAACAAGGATGAAAGGGGGACTATCCTTGGTTATATTACCCATCTCCTTGCTTAGTCTTCCGTAAGCACTGGTTAGATTAGATTGGTTATATCTTAATGTCTGCTGTTCGGGCAGAATCTTTAAGTGTATCTGTGTCCATACCCAAAGCTGATCAGGGTCGACAACTGATCAAATTCACTGGTTCCACTGTATTTGGAGTTGACGTCATACAATTCTGCCTAGGAAGTGACTTTAATATCCAGGTATCAGAGCATAATATAGTCAGTGATTGTCATAAATTTTCCAAGATTCCTTTTAGTATAAACAGCTGACCCGAGTTGTGATAAAAATCACATTAACATTGCCATAGTATAGTAAGTTGGGTACACTTAAAAAAATAGGACTCTATATGAAAGAAACATTCACCCAGCTGGGTCACATAGTAGAGGCACTGTTTTAAACATTGGCCATTCAGCACACACCATTTCTCACTCTACCTGAAGGGTGTAGTCTGAGTGGAACATTTCTGCTTAGTTAGCTGACAAATGTACACACATTTTCTTGCCTTGGGAATGATTCTTATTTTCCTTTGGGTAACTTATATAAATTTTTTTTAAGGTTCTCTTAAACATAGACTATTTGGAATGAGGAATTCCCTTCTGTTCTTTAGCAACTTTTGATCTTTGCAGGAAAAGGCCTTATGTGATGGCGCTATATTGTCACGTATATTTCCCAGGCCACCTGGAGTTCTGTTTCCTTTTAAGTAGGTGTCTCTTTCCAGCTTCATTTTCCTGGTCTCACTATTTTTTTCTTCTTAAGAGATTCTTGAGAGTATCGTATTCATTCCATTGGAAAACATTAGCCCAACGATTTATGTGGCTCTGGTGCTATGGTGTCTTTGTATAGCCATTTCTTTCGGGCTATAATTTTATTTCCCAAAGGATTACTGTCCTTCAAGCGCCTAGGTGTTTGGACAGTGGATTGAAAAGAGCAGGAAATAGGAGATGTTTGTTTCTTTTCTAGATCTTTGGACAGCTAAATGTAAAACATTTCCTGGATTTTAAGTAATACTAGAGCAAAAAGCCTGGCGTAATGTTTTATTTTGAATAATTAATATGAAAGCACACATCTAAAAACATAATTTATATCGGAAAGGGGTATTTTATAGAGGAGGCAAGCATTGCTATCCTAGCTGCTGTTTTTTTTTTTTTTTAAAGAATAGTTTATTGATTTTTAGAGAGCCAGGAAGGGAAAAGAGAGAAACATCAACGTGAGAATGTCACATCAATTGGCTGCCTCCTGCACACCCCCTGCTGGAGATCCTGGGCATGTGCCCTGACCCGGAATCCAACCAGCAGTCCTTTGGTGCACAGGATGATGTCCAGCCAACTGAGCACCACCAGCCAGGGCCAGGGCGCTACCCCATCTTCTTCTTCTTCTTCTTCTTCTTTTTGTTAATCCTCACTCGAGTATGTTTTTTCATTGAATTTTAGATAAGAGTGTAAGGGCGAGAGGGAAGGAGGGGGGAGAGAGAGAAAGAAAGAAACATCATTGTGAGAGAGACACATCAATTGGTTGCCTCCCGCATGACCCTGACTGGGGCCAGGGATCAAACCTGCAACCCAGGTACGTGTGCTTGACCAGGAATAGAACTTGAGACCCTTTAGTCTGTAGGCTGATGCTCTAACTACTGACCAGGGCTTATCTTCTTGATTGAGAAATGGGATTCAAGTTTATATATGGTTTCATATGGAATTATAAATATAATATGAATCTCCCAACTCTTAACTTATGCTGATGCCCATTATATCATTGCTTAGATGTGACTTAATTTTTCTTAGTAAAAGCTTTTCAAACAGGTTAAGTTTAAGTCTGGTGGATCTATTCATTGGTTGCATAGAGATTTAAGAATTCATATGGATATGTTATCCCTTTGTTTTATTCTGTCACAGAGTGAGAATTTTTTTCTCTCAATTAGAAAGTTATAAATTATAAGGGAATGTTTGCTCTATTATCTTATACTCTGAATTCTTTGAGAGGTAGAACCAGGTAACCTGGGCTGATGCCCAGAGAGGGAACCGGTTTATGATACGAGCTATTGAAAAAAAATCACACTCCTACTTTTATTTTCTAGGTGAAAGGCCACTCAATCTTCATATTATTAGTTGCATGTATTATATACATATTTATATTATTATTTAAAATTTATTTTTCTTTATTGATATTAGAGAGAGAGGGGAAGGGAGAGGGAGAGAGAGCTAGAAACATCGATGAGAGGGAACATTGATTGGCTGCCTCCTGCATGCCCCCCACTGGGGATCTGGCCCACAACCTGGGCATGTGCCCCAACCAGGAATTGAACCGGCGACCTCTTGGTGTATGGGTCGATGCTCAACCACTGAGCCACACCAGCCAGGCCATATTCATATTATTAATCTGAATATAACATACCTTTGGCAAGTTAAAAATAAAAGGGCCTAAAAGAATGGCACAATGTTTATCTGAGAAATACAAGGAGGCCTTCTTCTATATAATATAAAGAACACGTTAATAGAATTAATTCTTTTCAACATTTAAGTAAATTTGGCAATAGAGCTTGATAATAAAATCTGTGACCTGTGTTGGGGAGGAGGGTGGGTGTTTGGACATTAGCTCACGTGTTCATTCTAGAATCCAGATGAACACGTCCGGAACGTCCCGTTGACTTTGCGCCTGTTATTGGAGTGATAACTCCTTTGCAGTTAGTTCCCGACTTGGGTGGTGCGGAGTGTGTATTGCGCCCGTGTGTTCACTCATCGACGTGTAACACTGAAACCCTTGTTTCCTTCCTTCCTTCTGTGTGTCTACAGCAAGCTCCTGATGTTGCCGCGGGAACGGACCTTGTGCCTTCAGCCACAGTGAAGGTATTGTGCTGGGTTCTAGACTGCCATGTGCACACTTCAGCGCGCGACTCTTGTCACCCTATAAATAGCCTGTGGAAATGTCAAGCAGACACTTGGAATTTGTACCATTTCCTCCAGCCTTGGGTGGTGAATTGATAGCCTTCATTGTTTTCTACAAGTAGAAAACTGATAACTACGTTCTTAGCAATCGGTATATAAAATAATTTGTTGTATGATCCAGGGTCTTTTTTATAGAAAGAAAATGAACATTTTATTTTAGTACTTTTTGTTAATCCTCACCTGAGGATGTTATTTCCATTGATTTTTAGAGAGAGTACAAGGGAGGGAGTAAGGGAGGGAGAGACAGAGACAGAGACATCAATGTGAGAGAGACACATTGATTGGTTGCCCCAACTGGGGCCAGGGATCAAACCTGCAACCTAGGTGTGTGCTCTTGCTCGGGAATTGAATCTGTGACCCTTTGGTGCACGGGCCAATGCTCTACGTACTGAACCACACTGACCAGGGCAAAAATGAACATTTTAAATATGCTAAAGGGATTGTGTCATCACCACAAACCAACCAGTGTCATATAGACCATCTAGTTGATTGAAGCATCATGCATATATATTAGGGAATTATGTAAATGCTAATAATATCTTTCTCCCATATATGACTATATGTGTGTTTGAAAAGAATTCCCAGTCATCTATCTGCCATAATATTAGCTTTAAAGGGGTGTATTTATAGCAAGAAAATATTAAATGAAGAAGCCACAAAGTAGAGTAGTGACAAATTGATAGTCCTGAAAAAATAGAATATGAAGGATGTGGTTTTGGTTAACATTTTTAGTCCCGTCACTGCAGAATTTTAGACCAGGACTCAAATGTAGAACCCTCTTAAGGCATTTAGATGAAAGTGTGGTAATCAGTCAGCACATTATTAAGCTGACAATATTTATCACTGCCCAGAGCCTGGAGCCAGGGAAACTTGTGGATCTTGGCGATTTGCTCAGTCAAAACTTGGACAGGGCTTTATATTTTCTTAGATTATGGGTTGCTGTCCTTGGAGAAGCTTGACAGGGTACCAGGCTCTACCAATTGTGTTCGCTTACACTGGACCCAGCGGGTGGCCCTAGTGTGGGGATCTGTGGTAGAAGTTGAAGGGAGCCCAATCTTTTAACAGTTTCCTAAGCTAATTTTTTTGGATTCTTGCCACTGGAAACAAGGGTGGTCTTTCCCTAGTCTCCCTCCCCTATTCAATCAAAGGCTCTATCTCATTAATACTTCTGAGTCTGGAAAAGCATTAGTGGCAAGAAATCAAACACTTAGGGAAAAAAAAAAAAAACCCTGCAGAGTTCCAGGAATGATCTATGGACTTTTGTGTGGGGAAACCCTTTTTATATCTATCTACTGATATTGTTCAGACACATACACATAATAACTCAGGCGCACACTATAAATTGCAAAAAAGGCTTGTACCTAAACCAGATAACATTGCTCATGTTAATTTCCCCCCAACTGCTGCTACTTATTGCTATAAGGAAACACACTTTTCTTTCCAATGCAGTTCGTAGGCTACCACGTGTAATAGCCACCTTAAATGATGGCAGTGACACTCCTGGAACATTCTCCTTCATCAGTGCAATTTACTCTGTTTGAGGACAGCCACCTCGCTCTCAGCTCTCTCCCTCATTGTCACTGTGAGAGCACGAGAGAGAAGGCTCCACACAAGGGTTGTACACCATCGGCTGGGCTCACAGCAGACACAATGACTTCCTGATTCTGTCTGACAGTTTCTCTGCACATTTCTGCTATAAATCTCCCCTTATAGCCTTTTATAACAACAGCAGCCAAGATATATAACCATGCAAGTTTCCATCATAATAAATCCAGTTAATTGAGAAAATGTTTCCATCCGTTCCGAGTGAAGGAAGATGTGGCTACCTTGAGTAGGTGTGTGTGATGCGAGCGTGGTTGTTCATACCTGGCCTTTGGAGTCATCGCTGTATACCCAGGACAAAAAGTTGGTATTATGTTTCCTAGGGATCCTATTTCATTTTGTTAGTAGCAGAAAATAGCATGGAAAATTCTTGTATTAATGTTTTATATTTTCCCCTTAATATTCTATAATTATTTTTCTCTTAAAATATGAGGCTTATGATCTGGCCAAGCCTTTAACTTTTTTTTTTTATTTCTGGCTCAAACACAGCTCTTCTTTGTTGCTGGAGTTATTTTCATCACACATCTCCTCGAGTCACTTTTGAAAGTGCCTAGCCCATTGTTGGGGTTTACTAAATCCAAGTATGAGGGCTATCAGGAGTGTACATCTAAACCAAATGCAAATACTTCTGTGACAATGTAAAGTTGTGTGACCTTTGTCTGAGTGCACGTTGGGCCAGGAAGAGTACAATGACTGCTCTCTTACAAACGGCTCGTTGCTGCTTTAAGAATCTCTCATCTTCACTCTTAAAACCAAGATCTCAGCTCTCTTGCACATTTGATCTTGGACATTTACTTCGCTTCTCTGAAGCTCTGTTTTTAAACTGTAAAATGGGGCTACTTTTTCATTTGCAGAGTTTTGAGACTAAACCCCGGTTGATTAAGAGCATAGGCTCCGGGTTTTGGCAGACAGAAGTGAAATTGTGGTTCCCGCACTTACAAGCCGAATGGCCCTGGGCAAGTTATTTAGCCTCTCAGCCACAGTTTTCTTTCGTATAAAATGGTACATAGTAATAGAAGCTGTTTCACCATGTTGTAAATAGTAAATGGGATAATGCACATAAATAATTTATCAGCATGGTTCTATGAATATAGAAAGCTGCTAATGGTTATCATTCATATGATTAATTTAATTTAAAGATATATGTATAGGCTAGCATTGTATTAATATTACAGACAAATATTTAAATTGTGTTTTATGTATTCAGTGGACTAGCTATTTGAAAGAATGTTGTCTGTGGTGATATATAGTTTCTTCTTATAACTACCATGAGGGTTTTACTGAAAAGGTGTTCTGTGTGTAACGGTCAGACATCATTAAGGAAGCTTTGCTTGTGGGGTGCAGCTTGCCCTCGTGTGTTCCCAGGGCTTATGAAGTAACAATTCATGATTGTTAATATGCTGTGTTTATTGTAGTTATTTGCATCAATAGTTGTCTTTTAAAAATTTTACTTTGCAACTCAAAATTTTATGTTTAGCCTATTTTTAAGTTGTACAGAATACCCATGTTATTTAAAATTAATGCAAGACCTTTACTGAATCTAACTACATGTATATAATGTTTGTGGGCCAATTGTATATTGGTGCAAATGGTTTCTCTGTTATACGTATGTATGTGTGTAATTAAAGAATAGATGATACATGCCTTCTACTTAAGAGAAAATTCAAAACTATTTTCCTCATAAATGCCCTCGCTTTATGTCAGTGGATAAGGAAACGTGTGTGTCTCACCCACTAGCGTCTGGTAACGAGACCGAACTGTTCTGTGGACAGGTACCAGGTAGAGTGCTCCTCAACTCTGGTCACACGCAGGTACCAGCGGAAGAGCGATGAAAAAGTGACCGATACCCTGGCCTACTGTGATAAGTCTGGCATGCCCAGGGGAAGCCAGATCATTGAGCTTTCTCTTTGACAGTGTGACAGTGAGGCCCCTTCGCACGGGCCCCGTGAGGATCATCGGGCCTGGTGGTTTCTGCTGCCGCTCCTCCGAGGGCTGTGAGCAAAGTCCTGTCTTCCCTACCCACCCCAGCCCGCTCCCCGGGGCACCTCCCCCTCCAGAGTTCTTAGCCGCTGGCTCTAATCAGAGCAGGGCGGTGTTCTAAGCACCAGTTTGGAAATGCAACAGAGAATATTGCCATTCTTTGATATTTTCTAGAATTAGTTATGTCAGATTATTTTTGTTTTAAGCCATAGAAGAAAATAGTACTTTGATATGTATCTAAGCTAGTAAATATCCACCTCGTAAGGAAATCCTTATAGAATAATTAACTTGTGTAAAATGTAATATACGGATACTGGAAAAGATAAATAATTCATGGTACCACATCCGTATGTGAAAAGAAGAATGAAGACGTATATTTCATGGTGTAATTATTTATCAGCCATTGAGGGCAGATTTTTTTTCTTTGCTTTTGATAAAACATTTAAAAAGTATGTTTTTTTTTTTTTGAGACAGAGAGGAAGAGAGAGATAGGAACATCAATGAGAGAGAAACATCAATCAGCTGCCTCCTGCACGCCCCCTACTGGGGATCGAGCCCGAAACCTGGGCATGTGCCCTGACCGGGAAATCGAACCGGGACATTGAACCATGACCTCTCAGTCCATGGGATGACACTCAATCCACTGAACCATATTGGCTGGGCACAATTTTCAATTAATAACAATTTGTTTCCTTAGGTCACACTGCAGAACCGAGTGGTGTTGCAAAAGGCCAAGTTATCAGTCTATGTGCAGCGGCCTCTGGTACTGTCACGTGACCAGTTCACTTTTGAATTTATGGGTAAGTGTTTTGTTTTGGCTTAAAGTCTATCATAGTGCGATGATTTTTTTCTAATTAATTTTTTTTTTATTAGTGTGTTCGTTTCATGGATATATTTCTTGTCTGAATCCTGAGACTGGTCTCTTCTTGAAATTAACGCTTGTGTTGTTTTGCTTAGGGTGTTTTCCCTGGAAGCATCAAGCATGGACATTCAATGAATGGTTGTTGAGTCTGAAGTAATTACAGATTTCCAAGCGCTTTCCTTAACTAGATGGACCTGTAATTGTACTTAAACACTATAATTTGGAAGGCTTTCTTTATTGGTGTTTCTCTAGTGAGCTATTTATTGAATCAGTAATGTTTGAAGAAAGAATATTGACTTTGGAGTCTGGCCTGAATTTGAATCCTGGCCCCGACTCTCACGCTATGTGTAACCTTGGGCAAACCACCTTAGTAATTACTTGGAGCCTCCATTTTTTTAATCTGCAGAAAGAGGATAATGATGTCTTTCTTATGGGGGCTGTTTTTAGGATTTAATTAAAAAATGAATCTATGTAAGATACTTGCAGTACTACCTAAAATAGTAGACAGGTCATAAATGGCAACTTTTACTTTTGCATAGAATCTCTTACGCCCTATCACTTACATCTAAGTTGTCATTTTTTCCTGTTAAAGTGAGTTCTGAATGATCTTTCTTTGTTTACCACCACTGTTCATCTGGGGAGCCTATGTCTTATTCACGAAGTCGAGCACATCTCTCTAATTTTGCCTTTGTGTAACCAGCCCTTACCTGAGTACCTGGCAGATGGAAGGAACTCAATAAATACTCATTGAATGAGTGAAGGAATGCTTGGAGGTGATGTCCAGCCACTGGTTTCTCACTTGATTTTCTGATTTTTCATAGTACTTCCAATTTATCTCTTTAGAGCACATTCTGAACAATTTATTCTCCCAGTTACAACCCTTTTACGTCTCTGTGTGCAGGCTGGAGGTCAAATATACAAATGTAGAAGGCTATGCACAACCTGCTGAGTCTCTGCAGTTGTAGTTACATGTATGTCCAGCCCCTTCCTTCGATTTTCCCCTGCCGTCTGTGTTCTAACCCTGATGAAGTGCTGTTCCCCATCCCCAAATTCTCTTGCCCTTTTGTGTACCCTTTTCTCTGCTCCTGCTGCCTGTTCACCTGAGTAAAGCGAAGCAGTGGTGTGGAGTGTTTGGCACCCTGTTCTGAAGTCAGTTCCCAGTGTGTGAGCTATATGACCTTGGGTTAGCCTCTTAATCTCTCTGTAGCCAATTTCCTCCTGCCAAAAAAAAAGGGAATGGGGACAGTCATACAACCTACCTTATAAGATTGTTGTGAGGATTAAGTGAATTAACCCATGTGAAATGCTTAGGACAGTAGCTGGCATGCAGTACATGCCTAATTTGAACTGTTGTTAATAATCATAATCCACATTTATGTAACTTGTATCACTTGCACATTGCTTCTAGCACCAGAAATGACTAGAACAGCAGCCTTTTCCGTTTATCTGAAAGGAAGTTACGCACCACCCGAATTGGAGGGCAGTGCTGTTGTTTCTTACTCCAGACCCACAGGTAAAAATACGGTTGTTCAGGAGTTTACCAGATTAATCACTCCTTTGTACTTGTTGTAGTTATGAGTTAAATGTTTAAGTGTTAAGAGGGTAAAACACATTGTAAAATATTATTAAATGAAAAAAGTTCTTTTCTCATGCTAAGTCAAATTGGATGTCCAAATTACTTTAATGTACTATGAATAATTAGTGGTAAGTCTATTTAGCAGTTTCTACACATGGTGTTTGATTCTATCTTTTCATATAATAGTAAAATTATATATTTTTATTCTCTCGAAAAGAATGGTATCCAGTCATACTTTCATTTGTTGGAACTAAAGAGAAAAGCCTAGTCTGAATGAATGAAGAAGACTGGTATGGATTACTCTAACATTAGGACAGTGTTCAGAATTTTAGGTATTGTTGTAGTGACTAATACCCTTTAGTAGCTTACATGTTATAGTGTTTAAGAAAAGATCTAGTAAAATTTGATCATTTTTTTTAAACCTCTTTTTAGATTTAAAGATTATCTTTAATAAAGTGATGGTTGCCAAGCAAGGGCCGGGGGAGGCACGTAACATGGGAAGATGCTGGTCAAAGGAAGATGCTTCCAGTTCCAGGACGAACAAGTTCTGGGCTCTAATGTGCAGTGTGGTGACCATAGTGAACAATACTGTATTCTGCACTTGAAAGTTGCTAAGAGAGTAGATCTCAAATGTTATCGCCACAAAAACATAGTAATTATGCGAGGAGCTGGAGATGTTAACTAACCTTATAGTGGCGATCATTTTGCAATATATACATGCATTAAATCATCTTGTATAACTTAAACTTACACGAATGTCAATAATATTTCAATAAAGCTGGAAAAAGGGGGAAATAGGTTATTTTCAGCCCAGTTGAGATTCAATTTATTTTTTAAATTTATTTTGTTTTTTAGAGAGAGAGGAAGGGAGAGGGAGAGAGAGAGAGAAACGTTGATGAGAGGGAACATCAGTTGGCCACCTCCTGCATGCCCTATACTGGGGATTGGGCCCACAACCTGGGCGTGTGCCCTGGTCAGGAATCGAACCAGCAACCTCTTGGTGCATAGGTCAATGCTCAATGATTCAACTATAATAAGTTTTAACTTAATTGGGTCAATTTCATATTTTTCTCCCATATAGTGAATTTTTCATGGTAACAGTTTGACAGTTGATTGGTAGAGTAAGAATTTGTCATTGATTTTAAAAATGGTTATATAGCCCTGGCCAGTTTGGCTCAGCGGTTAGAGCGTCGGCCTGCGGTCCAGAGAGACCCAGGTTCAGTTCCCGCTAAGGGCACGTACCTCGGTTGCAGTTTGTCCCGGCCCTGGTTGGTTGTGCGGGTGGCAGATGTGTCCCTTTCACGTCGATGTTTCTCTTTCTCTCTCTGTTCCTCTCTCTCCCTCCCACTCTATCTGAACAAAAAAAATGGAAAAATGTCCTCAGGTGAGGAATAAAAAAAAAAAAAAAATGGTTATATATAGTATAACTGGTAAGGTATTTCAGCAATGTTGCATTTGTTTTTGTTTTTTTAAAACATTTTTATATGGTTTTCTTAGTTTTTTCCTCTATTGATGCTCACTTTGCTTATTTTAGTAGTGTTTTTAATAATAGTAGTTTTTCTTTTGTCTAAGTGAATTTTCAGGCTTATGCATTGACAATTTTATGCTCTGAGATGATTTTATAACTTTAGTACGTTTTCAAAATCTATTTCTACTACTTCGTAAGTTATTTTGCTTTAAAATTGTTGAAAAATTTATTTTTAGACAAAAGTGACCACTTTAACCATTTACTTATATTTTCAAAATTTGGGGCTGCGTAAATATTTTGTGTTTAAATGCTTTGAGAAAGCTGGCTTCAGAAAGAACCACCAAACTTGAAGGGATCAAGAATGATGGAGTTTTTAGTGGGGTATTTCTGAAAAGGACATTGAAATTTTCAATGTTATTTTGAGTCATGAACTAAAAAAGTAAGAAATATTTGGCTAAAATCTCTAGATAATTTATCGTTAATTGAGCATCTCAATAATCATAGGCATTGTTAAACTTTTTGCCCTTGTTACACTTTGAATATGTAGTTGCAGAGGCTGTTGATGCCTTAATTCATTGGTTTTCAAGGCACAGTAGTGACACTGTCTGAAATAAATATAAAATAGAGAAATAGGTTACATAGCAAATGGACAAACTGCTGAAATGAACATTATAAAATTGTGAAATAAGTCTGTGAACTTATTGTTGCACATACCATGTTTAGCTATTGTGCTTTTCTATAATCAGAATTTAAAAGATTATAAATTATTGCTAAACCAAATAATAAGGCATTAATTGGTTGAGAGTTTATTAGAAATTGAAGTAAAAAGAGGCTACAAAAGTTAAAGAATACCGAGACAAGCCCCCTGACCCACCCAAAGACATTACTCCATAGTAGTCTCTACTGACTGAAATTATAATATAAACATGACTACCTGGCAACATGAATATTACTATGTATTTGGCCTTTCCTGCAACTTATTTTCCAACAAGTAATTGAATACTCTTGATGCCATTTACATATGGAGTTTGGTTTTCCGATTGGCTAGATCATATCTCTTTGCCTCTTTTGGCCACATGTACATTGGCAGACACACTCGCACAGACCTCTGAGGATGCAAGTGCAGATGTATTGTTAGATTTTATTTGTTCATGTTTTATTCTTCAGTCGTGGGTTGAATTAACTCATTGCTATCAGAGAGCCATTCGAATCATTGTTGAGAATCTTGAAATGTTTATAGTTTTAAGCAGATATGTATTACATTTATGTTGTAATTTCACCATAGATAATTTGTTGCATTCTTTCTTCCCTAATGCTTTCTACATTGCCTCTGATGGATAGATCGAAATCCTGAAGGTAAGTAAGAAGATAATTTAGAACAAAATTCAAAATTGTCTTATTTAGAATTTATGGGGGAATGTCATCAAAGGTCTGACCCTTTGAACTCGCCCGGGTCAGTGTCGTTAACCCATTTTATATTCCCCGAAACCTTTGTTTGTGACTCTACTGTAATATTTGTCATAATATGAATTTCATTAAATTTGTTCCTTAGGTCCCCTGGTAGATTTTGAGCTCTCTGAGAGCAGGGTTTGAGCACTCATCTCTGACTTATACAATATTAGGGTAAATGACAGGCTCTACAAAAGAATCTTCTACATTGATTATTTTTCCTTCTAGATACAGACTTTATTTGGTGGTTTATCTCAGTATTAGCTATTTTAAGATAAATATTAGATAACAATGTTAATTAATTAGTAATAAATATATAAAATACTTAAAAAATTATGGCAATGCTTATACAGTTTTGGTAATGCCAACAACTTGAGTTGCATAGTATTTGGAAGGTGAAAATGTACTTACATGAGAAATATTTCAATAGAAGTATGTAATTAGCTTAAAGTAAACTTGTCAAATTAGAATTTGGGTTATTAAAAATCTATTATTAATAATGAATATATTTTACTTTGCAAGATTGCATATAGCTGATAAGATTTGCAACAACTTTTGTAAAGTACCATATTATTTAAATGATTTGGTTTAGGTTTAAAAAAATCAGTTAAGGTTATTTTTTGAACGCGACTTATTCCCTCTTACTGTAGATTTAGTCCCAATCATTAGGGGGTGGGGGGGGGAAGTCACAATATATGGAAATTTTAGTAAATTCAGTACAAAGCTAAAGCTGGTTTGAATAATCTCATGATAGATTTTAACATTATCATTAAACTTTAGGGACTAGAATTGAAATACTCAGCTTCAGCTAGCAGGCAAGAAAATAAAATGTTGCCACTTAGCTCTCACTTTATACAAGGCTTCAGATGTCAAAGACGGGTCCATTTCGTTGGCCTGACCTGCTCAGGCTGCAATGCGGATACGTCTTGCTTTTCCACTCGGAAAGACAGAAGCAAACGAGGTTTTATGTTGTCCCCTAAGAGTTAGTCTCCATTATTTCTGCATTAAAGTTACATGACATGGGCCGTGTAACGCAGGACTGCAGATGGAGCACAGTACGTAGCCAGACATAACAGGAAGGGATCCAGGAAGCTCTGGCTACCAGACGTTGCTACTGCTTTGGGGTTCATCGCTTTCAATATGAAATGACTCTAGCAGGCCCCTGGAAAGAGGTCTACAGGCATGATGTAGATGTGTAATACACATACATAGTTATTCTACTCTAATACATATGCTCTTCTCTCTCTTTTTAAAGCCCAATTGGCTTCCCTCTTGACAGTGATACCGGGCTCTGGGTGTGCCAGTTGTAATTAGAATTCTCTTCCTGGAAAAATTGTCCTGTCAGGACTGGGTTTGATGTGAATTTTCTCTCTAAGTGTTAAATAATTTTGTGATTAATTACACCACAGTAGTTGCGACTATTCATTTCCTCTAGTAGGCTGGAAAGGGAAGTGTTCGAAGGAGAGGTGATTATATTTGGTAACAACTGCAGCACAAAGTCAGTCTGATGAATGAGTAGGCCAATGTTTGAATATTATACATGACCAAATTTTTTTTTTCTCTGAGCATAGCATTGCATTGAATAAGCCTGTTTGCCAACTACACAGAGAAAAGATCGCTGATGGTAGGCAAAGTTAGGACCAATTAGGCTCCTTCAACTGAGTTGAAAGCTAGCTGGAAAGACTTTAAATACATGTAATTCTTTCCTTTCTTATTACAGGTACACACGTGCACACACTCACACACATCTCCAAGAGTCTCTGGCCTCAGGTTCTCAGAGGCAGTCACAGCCTGAAGAGTAATTGGTAGTCACATTTACATTTCAGGATTCTCAAGAAAAGCTCAATCTCAATAGAAGTGTGTTTTTGATAAACCAAGGACTAAATACTACAGATTGTATTTTGAAATGCTTGGGTTTTAATTTGATGGGCAAGCATATAAAATACTGGCATTGTGATTATACTTTTTAAAGATACAATTTCTTTAAACCGGTTTCTGAAGGATTTCACCCCCCTTGCCCCCCATGGTAAAGCTTCTCAAGCTGCCCTCATTTAAAAAATAACCATAATCACTTTATTAAGTATGAGTGTCATCATTTTTCAAAATAATGTTTTCCACATGTCCTGTGAAACCGGTTTTCAGTTCCTGGAGAGAAAGAAGTTCGGGGCCGGGGGGGCGGGGCTCTACAAATCTTCGCAATCGCAGACCGTGGCCCGAGTGTGTGACGTTGTCGTGAACTGACCTCACTGGGCTGTGAACTGAGGTACAATGTATTTCCCTGGGATTTATTAGTGCTTATAATCCATTTGTTTCTGTTTCTGAAAACATATATCTAGTCCACCAGCTCTGGGTTCTTGGAGATTCAGTTACAATATTCAAATATAGGCTCACTAACATAGGCTAGTGTTATTGATCATGATTAAATCTTTTTTTTTTTTTTTTTTACCACAGATTCAATCAGTATCTGGTCTGTGAAACAGAGGCACAGTTTTAGCAGTATAGTTTTAGAAGAACATTTACAGCCAAATTTTGTTTGAACAATTAGCTCATATGTTGGTTCACAGTAGACAGAAGATAGTTATTTTGTGCCTATACAGAATTATGAGAAGATGAAGCATTCCTCCTGCAATTCTGTTCATTAAAAATGAAGGAAATGAAAATAGGTTTCAATTTCCTTGTTCTTTTCCAGTCTGCATCCATTAATTGAGGCTATAATTTATATATTGTAGAGGAAACGTATTAGTAGGTATATTTCCATAATGTGGGGAATACATGGAATATCTGAAATTGGAAAAAAATAGTGCTTGGTAATATTTTTTGTGGTGCTATTCATAGTTGTGGTTTGAACAGTAGCTTAGGTCATGCTACCGTAACATTTTGAGGGAAAACATTTTACCATCGTAAAGTACAAATGAACATGCCTTTAAAATCTCACAGAATGTCAGGGAAGAATACCCTGGGACCTTTCTCAAGAGCCACCAAGTTATACTTTGCATCTAGGATTCCAGGAGAAGTGAATTTAACATCTGTTGGTTATGAGCAAAAAATGAGCTATGTAAACTTTGATGGGTAATAGATTACGTCGAAGAGCATGACAAATATGCTGCACATGCTCTGTAAAAGTATTTAATTGCCCTCATCTATCAGCGTGTTTCCACTCTGAGCAGCCCTCCCTGTCCTGGTGAGTAAGTAGTACCGAGAAGCGTAGTCCCGGTGTGGGTGTGGAGTACGCAGCTCAGTTCCAATTGGCTTCAACAAAATGTGTTGCTAATTCTAGGGATCCTGCTTCAGGATCGTGTCCCCAAACTTGATCTGCTCTTTTTTTTTTTTTTTTTTTATCCTCACCCGAGGATATTTTTCCATTTTTTGTACAGATAGAGTGGGAGGGAGAGAGAGGAAGAAGAGAGAGAGAAACATCGACGTGAAGGGACACATCGAGTCGCTGCCACCCGCACGACCATCCAGGGCCGGGGACAAACTGCAACCGAAGTACGTGCCCTTAGCGGGAACCGAACCCGGGTCTCTCCAGACCGCAGGCCGACGCTCTAACCGCTGAGCCAAACTGGCCAGGGCTTGAACTGCTCTTAAGGTGCTATTTTCAAGCTGCTCACTGAGTCCTGCAGAGAAATAAAGGAATTAACGTGTGGGTCCACCGAGCAGAGTGCAGCAGGGTACTGAGAGAGGTTTCTGTATGTTATTATCTTTTATCTTACCCAAGCAAAAATAGAATCCTAGAATTCAAGGAGCGAAAACTAAAGTTGTAGAATTGCTATTTTAGGTTTACAAGTAGAAAGCCCAATTTGCTTTGGTTTCGGGTTTGTTCTCTGTACACATGTAGAAAGGAATTGGTCTTTAAAAACTTTAAATTCTGACATAAAACTCATCATTGTTATTTGTTTCTCCGTTACCTGTTTCAGTCTGCCCGTATACACAATGAAAAAATTTGACAATTGAGTGATTGTGGAAATCTTTCAAAATGTCACTTAACAATGACATGTAAATTTAAATGGATTTAGAAAAATTTAATTCATATGAAAGTAATAATCTTATTATTGTTTAAAATGTCATGAACTTTAGTAGTTCAGAGCAAATTCTGCTTTCATGCTCATGATTTATTCCAAATTGTTTTTGGTAATTTGAATTTTCAGTAAGTAAAAAAATGCTAAAGATTAAAAAATTGGAGGGAGTAGAGAAATTATTAAATATGGTCATATAAAGCCTTTCTGATATAAATTTTATATTCATTGCTCATTTTAGGTGATAGTCTTAAATTAGGGCTAGAACTTTGAAGGTCTTAGTTTAAAGATAGTTCAGTAATTGACTATAACTACATTATAGTGTTGAAGTGTGATGATTTTTAAAATATGGTATTAAAAATAAATAAAATAAGGTATTACTATTAAAGGCAGACCTCATCCCTGTGTTCCTTTAAATTTTTTTTTCTTTATTGATTTTAGAGACAGAGGAAGGGAGAGGGAGAGAGAGAGAGAAACATCGATGAGAGAGAACATCGACTGGCTGCCTCCTGCATGCCCCCCACTGGGGATCTGGCCCACAACCTGGGCATGTGCCCTCACTAGGAATCGAACCAGTGACCTCTTGGTGCATGGGTTGATGCTCAACCACTGAGACACACTGGCTGGGCTTGCCTGTGTTCCTTTTAAAGATTCTATTTTTGCCTTGCACTTCAAAAAATTCTGCAATACTTTTTATTTTTTAAACTACAGTTGACATTCAATATTATGTTAGTTTCAGATGTACAGATGGTGGTTAGACTTTCACATACCTTATGAGTGATCCCCTGATATTGCCTTGTACTTCTGACAACGATGTACAGACGTGGATCATGACAGTAGTGTGCTGTCTCAGTCACGTTACACGATGGGCAGGCAGCAAACTTTTACACTAAGATACATTGCTACTCAGACTATTTGAAGTACAGATTATTATTATTTTTTTTTTTGGTTAAATTATTTGTCAAATCTGTGACTCTGCAGTTCTCTTTTATTTCAGGCATTCCTCGAGTTATCCAGTGTAAATTTAGACTTCCCCTGAAATTAATCTGCCTACCAGGTCAGCCTTCAAAAGTTGCAAGCCACAAACTAACTATCGATACCAACAAACCTCCAGTCAGCCTTCTCAGTCTCTTCCCAGGTAGGACTTTTGAAGTAACACGCCTGTAATATCAGAAATGTTAAGAATTCCGAATAGAATCCTTCACCAGCAGGTAATGATGGGGTAATTATCAGATAATTGTTAAGTCAGAATATAAAAATGCCTCCAGGATTTTTTCCTTGCCTGTTCAAAGGCGAATAGCTTATATCAACAAGGTAATAAGGTGTACCTTTTAAGTTTGATTAAAATTAGTATAATCGTTATTTTGCTTCAGTATTCAGAAATGAAAACATCAAATGTTTCTTTTTCGACTGTGGAATTCTTTGGCTTGGAATGTAAATATTTATTAATCATTTTCATTGTCGGTTTCTGGATCTGTACCTTTTTAAAGTACAGACTTATGCCCCTGAAAAGTGATCGCCTAAGTAGGTGCCCTTGGTGGTTCCGCTGTCTGCGGCAGCTGGCGGGGCGAGTCCGCCTCTGGCTCTGATCCTTTACAAGGGGCTTCGTATATAAAGCTTCAGTACACGGTGAACATTGGGGGTAATCTGTGAAGGTGTGACTTTCTCCAGGTGTCAGTCAGCCTTTCTGAGGAGCTTAGAAAAAAGAGAGGCGTTGATTGGATAAAACATCTGTAGTAACCAAGGTTTCTAATATGTCCCATCTATTCACTTTCTTGGTGATGGGGTGGAATTAAAAAAACAAATCTGGGAATTAAAGCAACCCTTTTAGATCCCGCATTAAGTTGTCACTGTTGGCTATGTGATGCGCCCTCACCCTTGCATTAGTGGGTAGGATTTAGAAACAGAGTATTTCCCACAAGGTTTAGCGATTTATGGTAAGTCAACTTTTGAGTTATTAACTACTTAAAGTGCTTAACATTTATTTTTCATTATTTTGAAGTGTTTAAAAAGCTTTATTTATGTATAACTCTATGAAGGAATGCTTTTTGTTACAATTGATCTATTCTTTAGTTTGAATTGAGTTTGTATATGTGTGTTCATTGTTAGCAAATAGTTTTATACCTTTCTGTCTTTCCCTTCCCTTTTCTTCCTTCTTAGTTGATTTTCTTACAGCAAATTTGGATTATAAAAAAGGCAGAAAGAGTCACTACCTTTATAACATCTTATACAAATGTATTAATTCCTGGAGTCTCCTATACTATCCTGGAAATTTAGTAGGAAATTATATGTTGCACACTGAATTTATTGGTGCCTTTGAAAAATGTTTAAGACCCTGGCTTCTGAGTGGGTGATATTTACTATAGGTAGATGAAACCCCAGAGATTGAGTAAAAATGCACACTGTTGATCAGGCAGGTAATCTCTGTAAGCTCGGGACAGCTGAGATAGCTCATCTACTTTTCTCCTGGTTTGGGGCTCAATTGTTTTGACATCTGAGGTATCTGAGGCTCATCAGCATAGGTTTGCTTTTTTGTCACTTTAGAAATGGGATGCAATGACAGGAATTTAGAAATGTCCCTCAAGAGCAAATGGATGTGATATAGCCTGTTCTTTTTTAGATTCCATGGATTTGTATTTATACTGAACATACTAGAAGCATGTAACTGTTTAAAATAAGCACTCTGGGCATTTGTCCGTTCTCACTCTTGGTCTATGAGACTTTATATGTTGGTGTCGAAGTTGCTATGGAAAGTCTGCTTTTTAACTGAACTGAAGAAAGTTAATGAACTTCACAGAGAAGAAATAAATCTACTTTTAACCTACATCTCTTCCTATTTGTTTTCTTTAATCCTTTCTTGTGAACAAAAATAGATATATTTAAAATAGCTTTGCATTTTCTTATTACAAAAGTAATGTGACATTTAGAAATGGATAACTAAAAGGAAATGAGAAAAAAAATGTTTGGTCCAACTTTACTTGACATCCACCCATAAAAGTCTAACATATCCCAAGAGGGAAAAGTACTTGTGAAGAGAGAGAAGGGAAAACGCACCCCGAGTGCTGATTTCAGACCGTGGTCACTGCGAGCTCAACCACGGCCTCCGGGAAAGAACACGCATGTCCCTGCCCTGGACCTCGAGGGGACATTTAGAAGTCTGCCATTGCGTCCTAGAGCTCAGTAATGCTCTGTTTTTTCCATCTTTTTTTTCTCTTTGTCTTTATTTTGGGTGGTTTCCATTGCTATGCGTTCAAGTCTTTTTCTTCTGCAGCGTGTGATCTGCTTGTGATCCGAGTGCACCGTTCACTGTGCTGTCTCCTCTCGAAGTCTGATACAAGCCTTTTTTCTTCTTCTTAAAAGTACCTTCCATGTTGCCCGGCCGATGTGGCTCAGTGGTTGAGCATTGACCCGTGCACCAAGAGGTCGCCAGTTTGATTCCCGGTCGGGGCACATGCCCAGGTTGTGGGCCTGATCCCCAGTGGGGGGCATGCAGGAGGCGGCCAATCGATGTTCTTTCTCATCGATGTTTCTATCTCTCTCTCCCTCTCCTTTCCTCTCTCTCTGAAAAAAAAGAAGAAAAAAAAGAAAATTCTTTCCATGTCTCTAATAGGACTTCTTTGAACACACAAACAACATAATAACTGTTTAAAATTCCCTTGTGTACTGATTCCATCATCTGTGGCATTTCTGAGTTCATTCTGGTTGATTTGCTCCTTGTTATGACTGTAGTGTCTTCCTTCCTTGCATGCCCTGTAATTTTTTTATTATTTATTTATTTATTTTTTATCCTCACCCGAGGACATTTTTCCATTTTTTGTTCAGGTAGAGTGGGAGGGAGAGAGAGGAACAGAGAGAGAGAGAAACATCGATGTGAAAGGGACACATCGAGTGGCGGCCACCCGCACGACCAACCAGGGCCGGGGACAAACTGCAACCGAGGTACATGCCCTTAGCGGGAACCGAACCCGGGTCTCTCAGGACCGCAGGCCAATGCTCTAACCGCTGAGCCAAACCGGCCAGGGCCATGCCCTGTAATTTTTGATTGAAGAACAGAACTTTGGAATTTTATCTAGTTGTATATTGAGTGTTTTCGTTTGCTTCTAAATCTTCTTGAGCTTTTTCCCTGAGACGTGGTTAAGCCACTTGAAAACTTTGATCCTTTCAGATGTTGCTTTTGAGCTTTGTCAGGCAGGATGGGAGTAACAGTTTGTTCGAGGACAAACTGCACCTTCGACTGAGGGCAAACTGCCGTGTACCCTTCACGATGCCTAGTGAATTAGGCTGCTTTGTGTTCTGGCTTGTGTCCTGGCAGTGGGAACAGGGTTGTTCCTGGCTCCAGCCGGAGTCACGGATTCCGTGTTCCCTGTAATGTTTTTCGGTGTTCCCCCAGCCTCACATAGCTTCCTTACAGGCCTGTGCTGATTGGTCTTCAGGTGGGCACTCAAGGGGCACTCCGCAGGTCTGTGCCCTGTGAACTTCGGCTATCCTGGCCTTTCCAGACTTCCGGCTCTGCTCCCCTTCTTGAGGAGCATGCTGGGTCAGTGGTAGTCTCTTTGTTTACTGATTGATTGTTTTTTTTAGAGAGAGAGGAAGGGAGAGAGAGAGAAAAAAAACTTTGATGTGAGAGAATCATTGATTGGCTGACTCCTGCATGCCCCTTACTGGGGATGAAGCCTGCAACCCAGACATATGCCCAGACTGGGAATCGAACCGGGACCTCTCATTCCATGGGACGATGCTCCATCCATTGAGCCACAGCAGCCGGGCAGTGGTAGTCTCTTTAGATTGGCTCTGACATCCTTTTCACACAACTCTGCTGGTAACGGGTAGTTTCCCTCTTTGTTCTGGGTTCATCGTGTGCATTTCCTGCCTTAGCCCTAGAAGGAACCTGGAGGAGAAAGGAAATCAGATGATTTCAGAGTGTTCTTGTGAGGCAGAACTTTCAGCTGTTGTGAAATCAGTTGATATAATTCATACATGGGCTTTACACGTGGCTAGTAACGTAGAACCTACTTGTCACCAGTGATGCGTCCTACTTCAAACATTACGTGTTCTGCCATATAGTGATTTTTTTCCTTTTTTTTTTTTGTAGGCTTTGCCAGTCAGTCAGAAGAGGATCAGGTGAATGTGATGGGCTTCCACTTCTTAGGAGGCTCCCAGGTCACTCTTCTTGCTTCCAAAACCTCTCGTAAGTCCACATGGGGTTACGGCTTTAGAAATTTTCCAAGTACACTCCATCGTCATCAAGGGTTTCGGCAAAGGGTTTGCTCAGCTAAGTATCGAAAACGAAAAGCCATGATATTAAGAATATAGGACATACAAGTTATAAAGCTAGGATCCTATTTTATTAGAGATATTTATCTTTGTTTGGGGATGAGGAGAGTTTGAGGGAGGAATTCAAAGAATTGGAAAATATTTTTGAGATAGGTTTTAGGGACTACTAGAAATTGGAATTAAATTTTTTTGTGTGTATATATTTTTATATCCTTCTTTTTTTATTATAATCTTTACCCGAGGATATGTTTTTTATTTTTATTTTTTTAGAGAGAGAGAAAAAAACATTGATGTGAGAGAGAAACATCTATTGATTGCCTCCGTGTGTGCCCCGACCCGGGATCAGACCTGAAAACTTTTGGTGTACCAGATGAGACTCCAACCAACTGAGCCGCCTGGCCAGGGTGGCACCATTTACTTTTGATTACCTTTAATCTTCACTTGGACATTGGAACCATTTTGGTACACGGCTCGTTGTTAAACTGTTCTCTTTTGTTAAACTGAAAAATTGGTGCCGTCTTGTCCTTGGGAAACCGTACACAACTGATAGACTTCAGTGATGATGCCTTACGATGAGCCTGCAATCCAGATCATTAAAAAAAGGCAAGATGTTATTCTTTGTGAAAATTGGGAACATGTATGTCCTAATCAGTGTATCTATTATTTTTTGGATAAAGTAACTTTTCGAGCACTGCTGTGGAGCACGATCACTTTACCAGTATGTAAATATCATCAGATAGTCAGGTGTATAGCCGATTTGGTCACGTACATCTGAACAGATGACAGTGCCATAGTACAGGCAGCCGGGTTAGACAATGGGATAGGACAGGGCCTTTTAAATAAGGAACCAAATGAGCTGTGTCGACAGACCTGAAGAGTAGCCACGACAATTCCCTGATTGTTGTGCTGACTCAGTGACACACAGACTTCTACCCAGGAAATGCCAGGGTGCTGGAGGGGGATGGGTACGGAGAGGCACCCTTTTCTGGCGTTGAGGCGGTTGTTGCTGCTCCCTGCGGCTCTCAGCGTGGGTGCTCATCCCTGAGAAAGGAATGAGGGAATTGCACTCAGTGCGTGTCAGGCATTTTCGTTTTTGTGATGCAGAGTCCCGGATCCAGATTTTCTTCTGAATATCACAAAGGCAACTTAACTTCTTCAGTAATGTCTCTATAGCTCATCTTTATCATTGTGATTATTGTACCTATGCAGTTGTAGTTTATAAATTGCAGATTTCATAGAGCTTTAAAAATAATGACAGAGCTCAGTCTATTAGATATCGTGCTTTCTGAGCTCGAATCGGTGCAGCCGAGCTGCAGCATGAGTAAGGTATGTTCAGAGTGCCGAGTGTTGCAAGTTTTCAGTTTGTAGTGTTTTCAGAAAGAACAGGACAACTAAACTCAGTAATTTCGAAGTGAGATGTAGCTGGAAGGAGTGTGGGTTTCGTTTTGTGTTTAAATGAGCAATATTAGAATATGTTTGCATATGAATTGAAATGATCGAGTTAAGTGAGAGGCTGATGGTCAGGAAAGAGAAAGGAATCGAAGCAATGAAGTCTTTGAGAAGGAGAGAGAGGGTAGGATGCAGAGCCTGGGGGCAGGCGTGGGGATGTCCAGGGGGATTGAAGGATAGCTTTTGTAACTTACTGTAAAGGAGGGACTGGATGGAGGTCAAGGGAGACATTGTAGATTTGTTGATGGAAACATAAGGGAGCTCGGATGATGTCTAAGTTTGAAAAAAATAAAAATAAAAGGCATGACATTGGTGTCTTGGAGAATAAGAAACTCATGAATAAGGCAATGTTGAGTTCCCATTTGATGTTTGAGATCCTGAATTTTGAAGTGAAACCAGTCATCCTTAGATGATTTTCCCTGGCAGTGATCTATCAGTATCAAGGCTGGGACTTTGAAAGAATTACAGAAAAAATATTTTTATGAGAATATATATAATAATCGACTACCAAATCTAAGGTGACATGGGAGAAATAAAGATTAGAGAAGACTGATACATGGTGGAACATGAATGGATTCAATGGATCACAAGTGCCAATAAGGTTTCAGAAGTGAAGTAGGAATTACAGAGCACATGAACTAGAAAGCACAAAGTAGTGGTCAGAGAAGAATGATGTTGAAGTCAAGATTCAGAGGAACTGAGGATCGAGATGAGGACAAGCTCTTCAGGGCAGGAGGGGTCTGGGGGAGTGGCTTGTGCAGATGGAGAGAACAACGGAGACGAGGGTTTGTAGGAAATGAGATGTCCTAGTTGTGGGTACTGAAGAGTCTGATGTTTGCGGGATGATTGAGAAAAAGAAACACATCCGGACACATTATTGCGAAATCTTGGAGCGCTAAGGATCAGGAGTGTATCCTCAAAGATTAAAAAGGAAAAAGCAAGCTACTCAAGGAACATGAATCAAGAAGCTATTTAACTTTTATCAAAATCAGTGGAATAATTTTCTTAGCAGTATTATCAAGGCACAATGGGCAAATTATACAAATCCAGCTTGGAAGAAGCCTTTTGAAAAGTAAATTTAGAGAAATCGTCCACAGTTTCTACTAATATCGAAGAGGTTGTATATTTAGAATATTGTACTAATATCTACTGAAATTGTTTATATCATTTTCTGAAACTTTTTGGTTCAAAAAGCCTTCATCCGCCTTTCCATCTCACATTAAAAAATTTCCAAATAGCATAAATTATACTGATGCTTTGTTTATGACATGAATACAAACATTATTTATATTGATGAACTTCAGATGTTCTGACATGACTAGACACTGACGTGATGCATTTTTGTGCCCTGCGCAGTTACAGCCATTACTTTCTCCATTTGTAGCAGAGTGGAATGGCAATTGACCGGGCTCCAGGCATCCAAATTTATTTCATTTGGAAGCTGAAGAGCTTATTTCTACTGAGCTGCTATTACAAGATGCAAAGGAAAAGAGATAAAAAAAAAATAAATTGAATGTTCATTTTGGCAGCTATTTTAATTACTAGTATTGTAAGGGTGTATTTTAAAATACAACTTTCTTCTTTCATGTTATATTATAAATAGATTTTTATTTCTCCTTTCCATGAAATGTATACTCTGGAAAGTCTCCAGGGCAATGTTAACCATTTTGAAACAAGTACTGAGAAAACGCTTAATAATCAAATCATGCCTTATAAATCTTTGAATCATTCATTCTCTTCTTTATTCTTAAAAACTTACCTTTTTTTTTGACTCATTCATTCTTGTTGACTTTCTTGATTGTCTGAAAAACAATCAACTTAAAAATAATTATGTTTATATTTCTGAATCCCAAGTTAAGTATATATTTTTTATTGCAAAAATTTTAGTTTTATTCCCCCCTTGCATGTATTGATGAAAATAAGAAAATAATAGAAGCCAAAAACGTTACAGAAAATATTACATCTCTGTAAATATTTATTATTTTTACAATTCTATTATTTGGTGACACTCATGCATTATACTTGGTCATAGTAGTGTACTGTCTTAGTCCATTTGGGCTGCTGTAACAAATGCCTTAGACCGGGTGGCTTTTGTACAATAGAAATTTGCTTCTCAAAGTTCCTGAGGCTGGGAAGTCCGTGGCCACGGCTCTGGTGCAGCTGGTGTCTGCCGAGGGCCGGCTTCAGGTTCGTAGATGTCTGTCTTTTTGTTGTGTCCTCATAGCAAAGGGGCAAGGGACTTCTCGGGTTTTTTTTTTTTTTATCCTCACTCGAGGACATTTTTCCATTTTTTTGTACAGATAGAGCGGGAGGGAGAGAGAGAGAGAGAGAAACATCGACGTGAAAGAGACACATCAAGTGGCTGCCACCCGCACAACCAACCAGGGCCGGGGACAAACTGCAACCGAGGTACGTGCCCTTAGCGGGAACCGAACCCGGGTCTCTCTGGACCGCAGGCCGATGCTCTAACCGCTAAGCCAAACCGGCCAGGGCTCGGGGTCTTTTATAAGGGCACTAATCTCATTCATGAGGGCTTCACCCTCATGACCTGATCACCTCCCAAAGGCCCCACCTCTAAATACCATCACATTGGGCACAAGGGTTTAATATATGACTTTTGGGGGAATATAAACATTCAGTCTATTTCAAGTAGCTGTAGTATATCTAGAAATTTATGTATATTTGAATTTTTCCATAGATGTGAGAGAGAAACATTGATTGGTTGCCTCCTGCACATGCCCAGACTGGGGATCGAACTCACAACCTAGGTATGTGCTCTGTCCCAGAATCGAACTCTCAACCTTTTGGTGTACAGGACAACATGCCAACCAACTGGGCTACCCACTCAGGACTCGACCAATACGTTTCAACATCTAGTTGTGATTGATCTAAATTGTATCATTCAAAGATAAACTACATTTTTATAGGTATTATTTTATAGGTTTTTTTTTTTTCCATACAGCATTATATTTGATCTCCATGCCAAGCTTGTAAGGTATGTTTTACTTTCCCTTTTGTGTGAATGAAGACATTGAAGATTGGATAATTTATTTGTATTGAAGTTACAGATTTAAAAATTTACTAGATTTTGCCCTGGCCGGTTTGGCTCAGAGGTTAGAGCGTCGGCCTGCGGTCCTGAGAGACACGGGTTCAGTTCCCGCTAAGGGCATGTACCTCAGTTGCAGTTTGTCCCCGGCCCTTGTCGGTTGTGCGGGTGGCAGCCACTCGATGTGTTCCTTTCGCATCGATGTTTCTCTCTCTCTCTCTCTGTTCCTCTCTCTCCCTCCCACTCTACCTGAACAAAAAAATGGAAAAATGTCCTCGGGTGAGGATAAAAAAAAAAAATTTACTAGATTTTAAGCTGTGCTCAGAGGATGAGACCTGAGAAATGGGATTTCTGTTTCCTAACATGATGCTCTTAATCACTTCCTCTACCACCATCTATCACCTGGACCGTGGTTATAC